TCATGGAAATTTTGCCGCATACCATGGCCGTTTTAACAATCCATACGCTCCTATGGAGTGCTCTTGCGGGAAGGAAACTACTCCAACCCACTTCATCCACTATAGCCGCCACGCACAACACACGCGTAGGCTCAGAAAGTCAATGTCCCACGTTGAATTTATCAAAAAGCTTCTCGGGCCCAAATGCCACGAAAGCTTCAAAACATTTGCGCAGGAAACCGGCTGTTTTGATAGACGACCTGCTCACTCATCCACTGCTCTCAGCGGGGATCAGATTAACTAGTCATTGCCACAACACATGACAAGAAAGGGAACGAGGCGAGAAGTGTCGTTTCTCTGAGGAAAGATTGTAGCTATTTGGATTTAGGGAAAAGGATTGATTTTTTGATCTAGGAGTTGAAGTAGGTGGTGTCCGCGTCGTAATTTACTTCCTACTATTTCTGTAGCAAGTCCAGCGGTTGGAATGAGTTGGGCCTGTAAGCAGTGATCCCCGCCGGCTCCACCAGTCTTGTACCTATAGTGGACCTAGAGTGAGTGAGTGAGTGTTTATTATCCTAAAAAGTCTATGACTATGTAAGGACATGTAGGTCCTTTCTGCCTACTGGCCGGGAGTATCTATGCCTCGGGTAGTGTACTCCCTCCTTTGCCTCCCTCACGACTTCTTTCCAGCAGTAATACCCCCACAGATCTTGATTCGATTACACACTAAGAGGAGCCGTTATCCCGTCATTATCTCCCCTCTCCAGCCAACGAAACGATGGCCATTCGCGGGTGTGTAGCTGCAGGGAAAAGTGTTAAAAACCACTGGGTGTGGTGCTCTCCTGTGATGAAGAGGCCGGCTAGCCGGGCGCAGCAGACCTGTGTATACCTAAGAGCGTCTCTCAACCTTCCTGGCCTCCTCCTTACCCCTCCCCTGATTCATGCCGCAGGACAAATCGTAGGTCGTGAAAGGATGTCAGAAAAGTCTTGGTCGAGAGTGAGAGTCGTGAAGGGGCCTAGCCTAGCATCCAAAAGTCGTTACGGACATGGGGTCGTCGAGTAGCTCATGTATTTCAGATGCCCTCCTGGCTAGTAGATTCGAAAGTTAAGATGAGTACGGACGATATTTTTGACGAGTCGAAATCTGCTTTTCTTGAGGGCGGAAGGGTCTTTTACTTTGCTTTCGTGGGCTTTTTGTTCGCCCGCAGGTGGGTAGCACATGTTGTGATATAACGAGGTAGTGGACCTAGAGCTTTAGCTTAGAACTTTAACAAAAAAAAAAGAGCCGTTGCTATGTATATATGCAGGATAACTCTTTTGACATTAGAGACGCTCATACCCTGTATTTTATTCGCAAATACCACTATGAGGTATGTTCGCTGAAGTCGAGTGTTTTTTTTGCATCGGATTTTGTATGCGTATGCAGCTATCTAGCTATGACACAACATCAGGGAAGTGTATAATAGATGACTCAATTTACAAGAAGAGTACTCATGCCTCGGATCTTATTTGCAAATACCACTGTGAAGTTATGGCGGCGTTTATTCACCTCAAGTCTACCCTCATCCGTGGGTGGGTGCCTAGCGAAAATTCCCAAAATTCCCAAAATTCCCAAAAATCCCGACGTATCCAGACACCCCTCCATCATCCATTGTCTTGTCTCCGCGCGAAACATGGTCTTACGATTCTCTTGTGAAATTAAGGTAGGTGCCCGGGCTACTCAAACTCTACCAGAGATGACCGCTTTCCATCGTTGACTTGTTTAATCGGTTCGGCTGCACTCTGGCTATCAAGGCTTGGAGCGCACAATGCTCTTCAATGTAAATCTACTGGCTAATATACCAAATCTCACGCCTGTCAAAAGTGTATCTATCTGCTGCCTCATCTTTTAAACTTATCAAACTATGGATAGTTTTGAGACGATTAATGTCAGATATAAAGTTTAGAGAGTTAGGTTTACAAGGCTTGGAGTTACTTGTTTCGAAAAAAGGTGTTTCGCTTGGGCTGTAGCAATAAGAACTCTATCTGTTCTGACTAGAGATGTTTCGTTCCAAACCATGAGAATCTTGGTCTATGGGGACAAGTTGGGGACCCATAGAGCATTTGCCATTTTCTAGACGTACATAATCTAGATAGTATCAGAAAGAGAAATGGCAGCCAGGAATTAATTGACACTTTTTACTTTTACTTCATACATTTTTCAATTGACATGTAGAGTCTAACAAAACTTGTCTTGATTCCGCTCACGGCTATCCCAAAGGACTGGCCGGTAAATTTTCGCGCCATTGTTTTTATGCTGACGCGGGTCATCGTGATGGCGTGGGCGTGTAGTCGGTGACCAGCTGAGGTGTAAAGCTCGAGGGTGTCAAAGGTAGCGTTAGAGAGTGTTACTGAGAATTGTGAGTTATATCAGACAATGTCGGCAAGAGGCAAGGTATGAGTTCGCAATTCTTTATATAACTGAGGACAAGAGATAAGAGGACTAGGAGATGGGACAAGCTCGATGGAAGACAAAAGTCAAAGCGTGGCCCTCTTCAACGGCCCTGTCCAGTCTATGTATATATTATGGTAACCAGAGCAACTTAGGCCTCATAGGGTACACCTTCTACGACTCTATTCCTCCAGTCGTAAGCTTTGGCATCCATTGTAACCCAGTAACTATTCTAAGGTGAGTAAATTTTCGCAGAGTGTGTAAAGAAAGAATACGGGGGAGCTACTCTGTCCTCAGTCCCTGACATGAGGCCAGAGAAATTCGACGAGAGGTATAGTTGTTGGAATGAGGATTTACTAAGTCTTACACGTAAACTTAATGATTTTTTGACAGGAACTGATGCCGTTAGGAGTGAAAGATTGACACGGTGCAGTATCTTGAACCATCGCCTCACGGGCCAAATTTTTTGATATCGCTAAATTTGACTGAACAGGGCTATGGGAGAATATTCCATTCCCTGTTTTATAGATGATGTTATGTTTTTGTTGTACTACTTGAGTCATATACCATCTAGCACATTGGGCTCCTCTCTGACACAGGCCACATCTTGTACAGTGCTCCTTGCCTCTTATGTTCCTTGAAAGATCATTGATATATTACCAGTGATGAATAGCCATTCAGCTCAGTGTTTACCCGCGAAATCCAGCCACCTTTCAATAGAAATTTCTACGGAAAATTAATGATAAAATGGTAGCAATGGAGACTGTGTACGCGGCAAAAAGTCTCAAAACCACTGCAGCCCAAGCTCTAGCCAGGCGAGGCCTAGACACCGGGACCACATGAGGTGCGCATATTCATCTACATCTCCCTCCTTTGTAACATTCAGAGTCAACTTGATCCAATCTACCATCGCCGTATCTGGTACTTCGTCCGCTCCGAAAATTCATCGGATGGCTTCTCCTTCATGATCAAGGGAGGGTGATGAGAAGGGCATCAAGCCTACCATCTAATCTGATCGAGGTTGGCTTCATGATAATGGTGATAGGGGAGCTATGTTGAGGGATGAAGACGATAGAATCGGCAAGACCGGTTTCTAAACAAAGTGAGGTCGAAGGTATTGCTCAATCTTAGGTCTGTCAACTCTACAGTGAGAGTTGGAGGTTCGTAGGGGTTAACACTGACAGGCATTGAAATTCATATTGCTTCAGTGCTCTGTTAGTGGCCTGCCCATTGTGGAGTCAGATGTAGAGTTGATCTTTTACTTCAATGACTATTACCCGTGTGCATCATAATCTTGGCTGTCTTCAGCACGACTGATCGATATTGTCTACGAAAGTTTTCAGCTGGGGGTTCAATGGCGGAGAATAGATGACTAGTAATGTTGTAACTATCGGTATCTACTTTAACGTTAAAGGTCGTTGATGTATTTTGGTTATATCTAACGTTCTGCAATGGATTGGCACTCTCACATTCAGTCTTGATGCTAGGATATTGAAGAAGTAGAGTTGTAGGAGTAAAAAAATGCGGAACGTAATTTACAGAATATAGAGGATATATGATGCGATGTAGTAATACAGAATGAGGTATTTAAGTTAGATGTTGAGGGCGTGGAGAGTATCCACTCAAGATACAAGTTGGATGTGTAGCGTCTCCTGACATTTAACAAACAGTGTTGTGGTCATGCAGTGGATCCAAAATCCGGATCATAGTACCCCCGTGCAAGGTTCGGAATAACTATTGCACACGACATCTCTGTAGAGTAGTAGCTTTTAGATATATAGAATATGCACCATACAGATCACAACAGACCCTTGCATACAGATATATATGTACAATAAGGGCCTAGTGATATAAGTATTTAAGATGCACAATACCATGGGAATTTCCTGACAACAACTCTAAACGTACGCTATCAGCCGAATTTTGCGTAGGTAAGAGCACAATTTTTTAATGCCGTCGGGCAGATCTTTTCAAACGCGCATCTTTGTATTTTGGTCTGTAAGTGCTTTCAATAGAGTTGAGCATCTCTAATTATATTAATAATAAATAGTGATATGGGGCCAGGATAATCACGACGCGCGTGGCCTGTGACATTACAATCTATTTAGGAAGTGAATTGCAAAAGGTGTCAAAGTAACGTGACTAAATGATCGTGACGAGATCTTAGCCCGACCGTGCCGGATAGACATTTGCGGGCTTAAACTACTGCGAGTCTCTTCCACCACTTCCGTCTTCCCAAACACAACTGAAATCTCATTAAAATCCGTACGATCCTGTGAAATTCATAAAAGATTAAGTTTCAAATACTTGCTCTTTATGCCAATCGATACCTGAGGAACATTGAAACATGATTCATGACATCATCGTTCCTTCGAGGAACAACGACCAGCGTCTTAACATTAAAGGGCTAAAGCTTCATCCATAACTTGACTTGGCAATTTAAAAGTTGCAACTTTCAGTGCACTAAGCTTTGCCAAGTAGAATCATTATTGTTTAGACTCTCTCACGAAGCCAAACCAATAAATAAAGTTATGTGTTAAAATCAGGCTGAGACTAAGTACAAGTTAAACAAGGCCGAATTACCGGAAAAATGTCCCCAGTAAATCATTCCTATGGTGATGACTGTCGTCTTAGGTCCAATCTTGAATCTTCAAATCCGAGTATTGAAAGCGAGATACCGAAATTAAAAACGCAGTTCTTCTACTCTTCTCCTCTCCCTCTCGATGATCCTTTGTCTACTGTTCCAAGTACATCAGGTGCTGATGCTAATAACACGAGGAATCTGCCTCGTCCATTCTCAGCAGTCGACAACGAGGCACTCGAAGAATCTTGGCGTACACTTATTTCCATGAATAACAAAGTAGTTGGCAGTAAAAACTCGAAAAACGATAATAATACGCTCTTAAAAGCACCTACCATCGAGCGAGAAAAAATTGTAACGCATGAGTCTATTGATAGCTCTTCTAGGTCAATCGAGACTAAATTCTCACCTTCATCGAATGCAAAATATACTAATTCCAATACTAATGTGCAAGATATTTCTAAAAATAACTTCACCTCAGAAATTTCAAATTTCCCTGACTTATCGAATACTAGGGAGTCTATTTTGACAATGCCCCGATCAGACTATTCTAAAAATGAAAATTTAAATATTTTAGAAAAAAAAGAAAAGTTTGATTTCCAAGAAGGGTGTAGATCTAGTAACACCAGTATATCTACAGATTTTGAAGAAGAAACATATGATAAACATTTTCTTCAAACAAATCGAAACGTATCTGCAACCTATCAAACTAAACTTCCAATTAAAGATAAGATAAACAATGGCGCCGTCCATCCTTTGACACAAAAGACTTGTAAATTTCGAGTACAAAAACAAACAGAAAATTCATATCCCTCAAAAGTTAAAAAATCTGGCCATGAAAATTTCGAAACACGTGAAAATCACGCCAATCAAAAATCACCCTCACTTTTATTTTCCCCAACTTTGACATCTAATCTACCTGAAAAATTCAACTGTGAGGTGTTCGGAGTACGAATCTCGGATCTAAAAACTTCAAACGAGTGTTCGGATCCGGTACCCGTTCATTTTCAGGATTCAGAATCCCCGAACCAGGGGTTGGATAACAAAGCTAAGCCTTCTTTTAGTTATTCTAGTCACGGTAAATCAGGTACTACTGGGCAGCCTTTTGCAAAGCTACAGTCTAGACAATCAATAGCAAACCCTAGATTTGACGCTTTGAAACAAGACGATATCGAAATTCAACATCAAAGGAGAGCTCAATCAGTTCCAAATTTATCTGAACATTCCTGGCAAAATCTTGAGGGGACTCTATATAAAAAGATGGAAAAGACGTGCTCAACCGAGCAAGCGTCAGAATCAAATGAACAAATTACCGAGAAACACTCATTAGAGGTTCCTGTTGGAATTTCAAGACTTCATCTCGTACAACTACCTGATTTGCAGATGAAGCCTATATATTGGTCGCCAGTCAGTGATAAAGCCACTGTTATTCGAGGCACTTGGTTTTATAAGCATACTATGAATCCTGTTGAGCCTACTGTTGCTAATCAGCTAGAACTTGGTTACAAAGAACTCCAACCATGGTCGCAGACTTGGAACGACGAAATTGAAAGTGCTTTAAAAATTGGAGCTGCTGGGGAAGAAAAAATTATTCACCGTCTCTGGCCAAGCGAGAAGAATTCAAAGAAATCTAATGAATTTTCAGACCGAAAATCCTCTACAACCTCACTCTTAGTAATAGAAGATCTCGGTGAAGAGACCGCGGCCGAAGGTAATGTAGATTCTGACATCAAAGACCTAAATTCTGCCACTTCTAGAAATGTCTTGAAAAAGTACTTGGCTGCGCAGGTTATCTATAAAGATTCTCGTCATGCTTTTATTCTCAAACCCAACGTTCAGCCGTCTGCGTATTATGGTAGGAGACCACTACAAAAAATCAGTAAAGGTATATCAGTTGGTATTCCAGTTATCCGTGGCTTTGACTGGAAAACTTGGGATAATCTTCACCCTCCTAAACATTCTGCTATGAAAATTGAAAATATAGCCAAGGCATACGACTCAAACATGTCCAATTCTAGCATGTGTCCTGCCTGCAAAGTCCAGGCAACACAAGCCCAAGTTACCGATCTAGTCCTTGTGATTCATGGCATTGGTCAAAAATTATCTGAGCGTGTCGAAAGCTTTAATTTTACACACGCCGTTAATGAGTTCCGTCGCTCTATGAATGCTGAATTATGCAACAGTTCAGTCAAGCGACTTTTGCGAAAAGACCTAGGCGGTATGACAGTACTTCCTATTAACTGGCGATCGAATCTCTCTTTTGAAGATGGTGGCCTGGTGAAAGATGGTAATTCCAACGCTGAAATGGACTATTGTTTATCAGATATCACTCAAGATTCACTCCCGGCGGTGCGTAAAATGATTTCAGATGTGATGCTAGATATACCCTATTATATGTCAAACCATAAGCCCAGGATGATCCAGGCAGTGATTCAAGAAGCTAATCGTGTATACAAGCTATGGTGCAAGAACAACCAAAATTTTGAGAATATCGGTCGAGTACACCTTATAGCACATTCTCTAGGAAGTGCAATGGTGTTGGAAATCCTTAGTAAACAACCAACAAATTTACATAAGCTCAATTTAAGTAGCGACAAAATTAATACTGACTATCTCGACTTCCAGACAACAAATTGTTTTTTCGTGGGAAGTCCCGCTGGATTTTTCTTACTTTTGGAACAAGGGAAAATGTGTCCACGACGGGGTCTAGATAAACCCGATGCAGAGTATAATACTGATAAGGCAGTTACTGCTGAAGCGGGGACATTTGGCTGCATGGCTTTGGATAACATTTATAATGTGATGCATTATAATGATCCTATCGCGTATCGACTAAATTGTACCGTTGACCGAAAATATGCTAAAAGTTTGAAAGAAGCTCGACTTCCGAGTACCTCGATGGGGTTTTTCGAGAGTATGGGCAAAGCAATGAAATCTTTTACCCCTGGAAACAATCAATCACAAGGTGCTTCTGTTGGGCAGAATCTCGAATCAACAGATATAACACGCCTTCCTTCAAATATGGAAATGGAGGTACACGATTTTAGTCGAGAAGAGACAGCTGAGAAGAAGTTTAATCTCTTGAACGATAATGGCCAAATTGATTGGTACATGAACAGCGGCCGTGGTCCACTTGAGATTCAGTATTTGAACATGCTGGGTGCACATAGTAGCTACTGGGCTAGTCCTGACTTTGTTCGGATGGTTGTGATTGAGTGTGGTCGAAAGCCCGGAAAACACAGCGCAATTCCAAGTATGAAGGCAGTAAAAGTTGGATGGATTGAAAAGTGCTAGGATTTACCAAGAACAGCTAAATACGGAATAAAATAGGCATGTAAATTACACAAGTATAGCTGAAATAAAAGGGAGTAATGGAAATATTTACAAAAGTTTTGTTGCTCTGGTAAAACCCAAAATCTTCATTGCGTCAGTAATCACTATCTATTTACAAACAATATAAAAAGTGCTACTTATGTTTATCAGGATATTATGATTTATCATATCTGAATGAGAAATATGGCCAGGATCTCAGAGCATAATGTTTCAGGAGATAATGTCAGGAAAAACTCTGTCAGCCACATTTATTCCCCTGGATCATTTCTTGACTCCAATTTAAATGAGATTCTTCAATAATATGGCCTCCAGGCTATCAGAAATGTGTCGTATTTGTACGAGCGCTAACTTGTGCACCAGGAGGTGCGGAAAGAAATGATTGGTTATTCCAGGCTTACGTAAGAGACAGTTATAAATTTTTTTACGATGCGTCCGGCCAACAATTCTTATCAAACTTAATGTTTTTCATGCGACAATGAGATTGATTCGGTTTGTGCTTGCATGTTGACGGCGAAGAGATATAGTGATTGCCGTTCAAAGCATCGTCAAAACTTAGAAGCTAGTCAGTAAGAGAGCGTTAAACTCGTCAGGATCATATGCTAGCGAGGCATCTAGGCTACGTCGTGAGGCCCTCTTTGCGAATGCCGAATTTCGGGTCCGAGCTTCAACTATGGCTCGGACCGTCTCATAGACTTCACATTTCTTGATTGGTGGGATGGGTGTGTCAGCTCGGAGACGGCGATACGAATTTGATTTAAGCGTTGCATGATGGCGTCCTGGGCACCGAGAAGCTCAAGAACCTGCTCCACATCGAAGAGAAGCTTCAGGATAACAGTATTAGCGTCACAGAAGGTCCGAATAGCCATTACTCCGGCCACGTACTTCCAGTTGTAAAGCATCGAGTTGACCCGAAGCGCGTCGTCGCCGCCGCGACCGTGGAAACAAAAGTTGTGCTGGTTTAGTTTGACTAGTTCCCGCTGCGTAGCTTGGTCGTACATGAACTCGAAGACGACGGGGCGTCCTTTGCTTCGCCAAGCGTCGACGGTCCGTTTGATGGAATCGACCGACATGCGGCCTTGTGAAAAATTTTTCATGAGGAATGCATTGGCCGTGTATACAAGCATAAGCTCAATCTCCATGTAGATTCTGGCCTGGACAGACGGCCCGAGGGAAATGGAAAGTACCGATATTTTATCTTGCTTGCTTCTCCGCGACCCACGAGAGCTGGGTGAGGGGCTCAGGTCGGCCTTTTCCGCCTTAGTACAGGAGTCAGCTAGGCTCTATACTGAAGAAAGCTAGGGATATCCTACAAGCTCACCTATTTTATTGCGTAGTTTTCCCATCATCGACGTCGTCTCCTTTGACCAACTAGACTTGGAAGCTTGTCGAGTATTCCGAGTTTGAAAGTCATTCGGAGATTGCCCTAGCCACCCATTCTCACCAAACATCTTTTTCATCGGCGAATGTGATCGTTTAGGCTGCGACAAATCTGGTGTATCGTATTCAGACTCATTGAATTCGAGGAAGTTGTCAATAAAACTGGTCAGCGATTTTCGATATGAGCTGGCCGAAATTTTCGAAGAGCTGGCCACACTTTCCCGTCTCCTGTTCTGGGAAAATGACGAGCCTGAACAGGAGCTTAAGTCTTTGTTCTGACATGCGTCCTTATGACCACTAAGGCTGTAGCTTTCTGGTCCTTGAAAGGTAATGGGCTGATAAGATGGAAGTAGAGGGCTTTCGCGATCAGTCGTCTCGCATTCCAAGCCATCTCTATCCGAGTCGTGGTGTTTGTAATCTTCAAAATTCTGGGCAGGAATATTCGGAGAGGATGCGCTGCGAGAAATGAGGCGCAAAGATGATTTGGGCGGTGGATATACGGGAGAGAATCTTCCAGTTGCAACGGTAGAAGATTTTGAAGGGGATTTTACATGATTTAGGTATGGACTTGGAATCACCATCGAGTCCTTGTGGGTATAATGATTGCTCATTAATTGGCATGTTATCTTTGGCGATTCAGATTCGAATTCAAAAGGATTAGAGAGGCGAAGACTTTTCATTAGATCAGAGATATGTCTACTCTTACTTAATAACATTTTCAATGAGAAAAATGAGATACATACACATTAGATGTATCTTTCATGATGATATTCCACCAATTTCGAATAGGAGGAACTCTCGGATCTAAATTTTTATAAAATACTTGAATTCTTACCGATTTAAGAATACGGTTATAGCGTTCTAATCGGTACCCGAGGGGATATTTATAACTCTTTGTCGGTGGTCGCTCAAGCTCAGAATTCAAATGTTGTCAAGTAGATTTATAGATAATATAAAGATTTCATGTATTTTTGTTACGATAGAGCAAATTGTCTTGGTTTGGATTACATCTGTACAAAAAATATAAAGTATACCAAATAATTCCATGAAAAATCCTTTGACCTAGCGGAAGAAATCTTCAATTGGTATATCCAAAAATGGTAGTTGATGTTCTTATTGTGGACGTTAGTTCAGGGAACACATCAAGAAACAATAGTTAGTGCTGAGAACAAAGAAAGGATGACGCTCTACTGAATTGATCTAGTCAACAAAGAAACCAAAAGTAATCGCTAAAGCCTTCATTCTAATTTTATAATTGGCCACTGGTTCGACATGCCTAGAGGTGAGCCCTAGGTTTGCCAAAAGTCGCATGCAATTGAGGACTTTGACTGTTAACTAATGTGTCTAGATATGGTCAAAGAAAGTTGAAGGTTATATGCCGATTAATTGTAATATGCAAAGTATGATAGAAAATGAACAGGTAAATGGCCTAAAATAAATGGCTTATTTTATCGTATCCGCAAGTACGTGAGCTGCGCGCCCGATTCTAGATCAAGCAACAACAAATTTTTCATTCTCCCTGAAGTTACACCACGAATGTCTCGTAAATATCTCAGTAATGACAAACTGAGACCAAATTATCTGTTTGATAAATGTTTGTGGTCGTGAGTAGCTCCATAGTAGCTTATCTCGCCTTAGGGATTCTTCGTTGTCATCAACTCATGAAGAGAACCGCGTCGATCATGACAAAAAACCATGGGAAAAACATTGATGGCACAACACTAGAGTAGCGTGAACTGGTTGAAGGCGTAAGAAGGTAGAATGATTTTTGATTGCGTCCTGATCGTATGATTGACCAGATAGCATCGCTTGACGCGGCTAGACACAGGGAAGCCTCTTGCAATGAAGAATCTCATCAGTATACTGATTTTTCAGTAGCCTTTGGTTTACAGGAATAAAGATTCACGTACCAGTCTAGCCCATAGCAGACAGAACTGATTATCAAATATCAGTGATGAAGATAAACATCCACAAAAAATGCACAGCCATAGCATTTGTGAGATTTTAGTGGTGCTGGTCTACTTTACGGTGTGGATAAAGCGGAAGAGATAGGCTACTGGGAGTCTTGCTGAATCTGAGGTTACCCTACCAGCATATATACCGACAGAATATGGCTCTAATCGATATCCAACAGATCAGTCAACTCTCATAACAAACCAACAAACGTGGGTAGAGAGATTCCTATCTTTTTGATCTAGCTGAATGCTTAAAAAGTATATACGCACGTCTTAGCCTGGTAATGAGCCATCGCAAGGTGCTGGGCCAAATAATGACGGCCGCTTGAGATTATATCTTTTTCCGAGTTTCGTCAAACTGGAATGGGCGCCGTGTTGCATTTATAGCCAGAATAAAAGTTTGGAGACCTTGAGGCGTCGCTCATGAACGATGACCCTCAATCAGATTGCAGAATAATGAGGCAAATTTATCTTTGTCGTCCACGACCCGTTCAGCGTTAAAACAATGATGCTTCAGATAGTCTACGATCAAGTGCGTATTGATTAAAATGTAAGTGCAAGCGTGGTCAAGAGCTTGCAATTGGAAAGTTTTAATTTTTCCACGTCTTCTCCTACTATTCAGCTAATAAATCTGTGAAATATAGGCCCTCTTTGTTTACAGGCCAAAAAAGCCTATGCATGTATTATAGTCCGTCTTATACTTGCTGTACACCACCCCTCACATGTCCTCAATTGATCATACACCTTGAGGAGCTGCCTGCCATTCATCACCTTCCCTCTCTGGCCCAACTTCTGAGGGCTGTCTTAGGTAGTAGATATTTCTTTGAAGTATAAGGCCATTAATGAGAACTTCTAAGCACCCCGCATAATCTAGATTCCCGACGCGATTCTTTGTGCATTTTAGGGGCTGAAATATGTCACTGTAAAGCGCTTCGGACTAAGCAGGTATACATGAGTGATTATACCGTAAGGACGCAGGTAGTCTATTGTGAAATTCCGAGATCCAGATAGCCGCATACACACTAGATGATTCAAATAACAGAATTCCAAGACTCCTCTTTTCGGCGTAGTTCTTGTGCTTCACTAAATCCTGTTTCCTTCCGTGCGCCATGAATATTTACGCCCTCGAATACTTACAACTGTATACTGTTCAAACGAGCAGTAGAATAATACTCTTCCCCTCCTGACTGCTCATAGGCTTGATTCTCGGGTACCAACATTGAGGACAGGTTTCGTTTCTGAGCGTCGATATCGCCTTCTCTGGAATTTCGGGCTTAGGGCTATTCTACTCACGAGTGAAGTCTCTGGTGGGAAAAGGCTCGTGTGCTCCGCGATAACTGACCTAGCCCAGTCCGGCCCTACTCTTGCTCGAGCTCATAAAGATCATTCTGCCACAAAGGGTCGATGGGAGAGCGAACTTTATACCAGCTGTTCCCAACTGAGTCCCGGAGCCATAATATTTATGGACTGGCGCGAAGAAAGAAATTCTAATTCGTCTGATGAGCTCAGCTTGCGATACAGAATTATGAAAAATATCTCCCGTCCAAATTTATTCTGTTCTTATTTTTGACTCTGATGACGACCAGTAAGACGAGAAACAATAGCCTGTCAGACAGAGATCAAACTGTGAGTAATTGCTAGTCAGCTGAACAGGCTACTGTAAGTATGTGTTATTACCGTAGATTAAGTAATAGCAGTGTGATTGTTGTCGGAAGCATCGCTACATCAAAATAACCCAAGTGCGACATATCTACACATGTGCCCTATCCCTGTCCAACCTAATCATTCCCCGCGCATCTATGATCACCTCTCATCTGTATTATTCATCACAATCATGAGCATCAACATGACTCACTATTCTGTGGTATGTTTTTACGGATGGATAATAGAAGAGAAATGTCAACAGAACTAGTAGAATGACTAGAACCCGGCTGCTAGCGCTACCAGTCAGTTGGGGGTTGAGCCCTCTTTTCCTTGCTTCTCCATACAGTGGTGTTGGCAGTGGACATGAAGGCCCTGACACCGTTAATCATGTCGCTCTAACCTCCCCACCCACCTTATTTAGCCACTTTTGCTTGGGAAACATTAAGTGAATAAGCCAACAGAGTGTTGAAAAGGCTTAATGAAAAGGTAGTGGGTGAAGTTAAGTACCTTATATACAGTCACGTGGGTAGAAATAGTGAGGTCTCTTTTTTTTATATTCATTTTATTGTCCTGTCTGAGTCTATGACTATGTAGGACATGCAGGTTCTCTCTGCCTACAGGCCAAGGATACCTATGCCAGTAGTATATCCCCTCCTATGCCTCCCACATAGCTCCCCTCAAACAGTACCACCCCTCACAAGTCCTCATTCGATCATACACTTGGAGGCGCCCTTTGCCCTTCATTATCTCCCCTCTCCAGCCAACGAAACGATGGCCATTTGCGGGTGTATGGCAGCCGGGAAAAATCGCAAAAAACCACTGGGTACGGAGCTCTCCTAACACCGACATTAGGACTATATCTGAAGACGTAGTGCCCCTTCTAAAGCGTTCGAAGAGGCCGGCCAGCAGGGCGCTGCAAACTTGTGGATACCTCGGAGAATTCACTCTCTGCCTTTCTAGCCTCCTTCCAACCATTTTCCGGAGGTCGTGCCGAAATGTCAGAAAAGTCTTGACAGAGCGTGATTACTGTATGGCAGCTTCGCCCAACTTCTTTTGTACCGTCCAGGGCGCTGGGGAGTACCGTTGACTCATCGACAAAATAAGCCCTCCTGGCTAATTAGCCGAAATCTCGGTCTTGGCGCCCACAAAAAATCCAAAGTTGAAAACTCCTCGAAAATATCAGTCCCAGCATAGTTTTCAGAGACCTCTTTCCCCTCTCACTCCACATCTCAGCCGCCTGTTCTTCCTCAAGTTGTTGGTCCCATTATAGCAACAGTCCCCCATAAGCCATGACCCAGGCTTTGTACTTTTCGACTTGATTTCCTCCTTGCGGGTATAAATGGCGTCGTAAATATGTAGTGAGTGATGGCTGGAGATTAACGGGGCAAGCTCCTGCATGCAATTGGAGCAACTTCTTTATTAGTCTTTGAGGCGAGATGATGCGTGGTTAGAGATGGGTTGAGGACTCAGATGACAATGATGAGAGAGGCATTGTCAAGAAGTTGTCAAATTGAGATGTGTATGAGGTTGCTTTCGACTTCGATTCGGATGCGATTCTTCTTGGCTATCCCAGATATGCAGAGCATACTGAGCGATTACACTGGCACCACTGGAAGGTGAAGAATTCGTCTTTGCCGGCATAGCGTGGTCTCATTGATAGCCTGAATTGATTGCAACATATCTAGCCTTACTAATGCCAATGACACCTTCAATTATGTGGGCCTGATTAAGAAGGTTTCAACCAGGCTATGTCATAACTAGAGGTCAACGAACAAGTCAACAACAACAATAACGACAACAGAGACAACTGAATCTCGCCCAGATCAACCCCACGCCAATTTGTGACCTCGACTCACGCGTCTCTGATATATTTCTTTGTCATCTCTTATACCTACCACAGGTATGCCGCCAGCAACTCGAAATCAGTACACTCGAGTGCGCAACAATATCGCGCAAGCTCACAAACCAATCCATTTTGGCGGCTCAAAAATCACCAAACCACGCGCTCTCGTTCAAAAAAACGAAAAGCCTGCCTTGCTTGTCCGGTCTATCACGCAACAAGAGAGGAAAATAGCCTCCTGCAAACCGACAAATGCGCAACAAAACGTATCCAAATCTCTGAAAGCATTCACACCCATTGAGCTTCGCGCTCGCAGTATTACTGATTCACAAATCAAGGCATATTGGAAGCTTCAGGAACAGACGCGCATCGCGCCATCCGCACACCAAGCCGAAATGGGAACTGACCTAAAAATCTTGTAAGTTTCAGGTCCCTGCACTTCCTATTAACAGAACTCATTTCACTATTGACCATTCTTCCTATCAATAGGAGGCTATTCGACACGAGCTCGCAATATGGGGTAGGTTTTACTAGAGATATTTGCCTATCCAATACCATCCACCTCTTGCTAATCCACTCTACTAGCCCTGCATAGGTATTTCGCGCTCCGCCAGATGGCTAAGGGCAAATAGACTGGGTCTATCTCCACCTATCGAGGTATTGGCCGTTCTTCTGAAGGGAGCTGATACCAAGGGGGACCGAATTGAGAGGGCACATATCGATGAGCTGATGATTTCCTAGAATTTGTGACTGTGTTACAGCACCAACTAACCAAAAGATGTTTATGTCTGAAGTTTTGTGAAAAGTGGTACCCAACATCTTGGACCTACCGCTTATCAACAGTGTAAACATCGCTCCATGTAACAATACCTACGTTTAATTGAAATGTCTGAATCAGTGATAACAGGCTTTGAAATCTACTGACTGTCACGAATAATCATTCATTTATGACCAGTAACTGCTTGATTGTATCAAATAGAATCTTTAAATAGCTTATTTACATTTGAACCTCTACACGTCCTTCTGTACCTAAGCTACCGCTAGATCCCAAGCTTGGCAATAGATACGTAATATCATCCCAAGGATGTCGGTATAGACCAGTTCGAAGTCTCTTCTGGTCAAGATAATGGGCGATCAGACCTATACTCCGACCTAGGACAAACAGTCCGTTTAATACTCCCATTCGCAAGTAGTCTTCTGCCTCCTCGGCACTGAATGCACCGCAGTTCCGCATTAAGTCAACAAAGCAAACAGCTACTGCACCGTCGACATTTAAAATTAAGTTATCTTTCTTCGAAGTAGTGACAGTTTCGACGGCAAGAGCATAATCTAACATCTTGCAGGACGGGAAACGCTTTTTGACGAACTCCTTTACAAGCTCGACACGAAGATCTGGATTATTCCGAGACTTGACCTTGTGACCAATTCCAGGTATTAATTTGTTCTGCTTTCGCATGGTATCAACAAAGTCACGTGGGCTTAACCCTTTGTCAAATGCTTTTGTGAATTCATCCGCAGCCCCATCGAGGGCCCCACCAAACCTTGATCCTATAGTTAATAGTCCGCTGACGAGGGCGCTAATCAAATCCTTTCCAGCTCTGGTTGTGATAATAGTGTTCATGGCACCAGAGACAGCAGGACCGTGATCAGCTGTCAACATTAGGACCATTTCCAAGAATTTGCTAGCATAATCTGGAAGGCGACGACGGAACCAGAGTAGTGACATTACTCCTCCAATTCCGATCTCTTCTCTAAACACATCAGATATGGGCATACCAGCATACAAGAGTTCCTGTCCTCTATCATCGGATATGGTGGAAATAAATGCTGCTGGTTTTCTAATGAGACCGAGTTCTTGAGCCCATGAGTAATCGAGAGGAATTTTCGGTACTGCTGGCTCAGGTTGAGGAACTATAGAGCCGTCTTTGAGCATTTTCTGATACACGGAAGACAGCAATTTTGGTAAGTCTTCGAAAGTATCAGGTACATAGAATCCAGCCTCCCGCATTGATTTGTTTTTAACTGCCGCTGTCTCGAGTTGAGAGTTGGCAAATGAGCCAGCGTGTCCAAACTGGACTTCTGTGGTAAACATACTCGCACAGGTTCCAATAGCCCAGGCTACGATAGGCTTTGTAATTTCTCCTCTCTTGACAGCTTCGATAACTCGATATTCTTCGACTCCTCCAACTTCACCGAGAAGCAAAAGGATCTTGCAATCTGGATCAGCCTGGTACCGTAACAAATGGTCGATAAAAGTAGTGCTGGGATATCTATCTCCTCCAATTGCAACGCCTTCGTATACACCATCAGTCGTGTTGGCTATGATATTATTCAGCTCATTTGACATTCCTCCTGATTTGGAGACATAGCCGACAGATCCTTTTCGGTAGAGCTTGGAGGCGACGATGTTGTCCATCATCCCTCCTGTATTTCCAATCTTGAATGAGCCGGGCTTAATACCGCCAACGGTAGCAGGACCAATAATAGTAATACCCTTTTTCTTGGCTACATGGAGGATTTCTCGGGCGCGCTTAATAAAGTTATTAATGGATAGATTAATAAAGTGGGGAGCTTACTCTTTCAGGGACACCCTCAGCAATGATAGCAATAGATTTAATTTGAGGATACTCCATTAACTCCATTGTAGATGTGTATACACTTCGTGAAGAAGCAAAATTAACAACACAGTCCACATCACTATGTTTTGCCATTGCTTTGTTGACATCTTGGTATACAGGAAGAAGTGTTTCGCTGGTACCCCAGTACATCTTACTGACGAACTGACCTCCAAACGTATAAATAATTCCTGCTACAGATGGGTTCTTTCGCTTGCAAATAAAATCAAAGTCAAGCATTCCTTGGACAGCTCTTGGTTGGAGACCGTAGACAAAACATCTTGTTTTTTCGTGGAATAATGTGTGGGCGGCATGAGGGCTTTGTGGAGAATTTGAAGCGGGAAAACGACGAATGTTGTCGTTGGCTGATAGCCCGATAGGTTTAGCCTGGGCGTCAGTACTTGTATCTTTAGATGTTGCGGCCGACATCTTTTAGGACTTTAAGAATTATCCTTTTGGTTTTGAATCAGCTGTGAAATAACTTGTTTTAATCGAATATGATTTGAAGCTTCAAAATTGGTGTATGACTACCCACTTATGTTTTATTTATTACCAGATCAGACGAATTTTTGATGGAGAGAGGCAATATCGAATGTTGAGACTTGCAGTTCGAAACAAATCTCTTGAAAGATTGCAGGCGGGGAGGACCAAATTGTAGGGGTTTGTCGATCAGTGTTGAACGAAAAGAGAGGCATTGCCAAGGATAATTGGATAGGTTGAAAAAACGAGTGGGGAAAATCCCCTATCTACCCTGGATTCGGTTGTGTTGTTGAGCTGTTCCACATCCCTACATTTTTACAGGTTGGGGCAAATTCACACTAAGATTTCTGATGTCGACCAACCAATAGTCTGGCATCCAGTTAGATGTATTGACCGTATCGCCCTATTACAAGGTCCAGCATCTTCGTATCTCCCCCTTCGAATCATTGAGAAAATTTGAGTCGAGAACCAGTGCCGTCTCTAAATAGTCAACGCAACATACATCTTGTATACATTGCGTATCCATCCCTATCTAAAATCTTTGGTAAGTCAAGCTGCGCTCTGCCAAAACTCCTCATCTATCATTTCATATTTGTCCCTCATTTTTACTCACCGTTCAAGTTCAAACCCTTGAGAGGTTGAACTCACATGAATGTGTTAAGTAAATCACTAACTAAAACTTCAGATATACCCTACAACAGATATGGCAGCTAAATCGATCCTTGAGGCCGACGGAAAAGCCATCCTAAACTATCACCTCACGCGCGCCACTGTCATTAAGCCATCGCCACTTCCTCCATCTTCCACTCACAATCCGCCACCAAAACTAGCTTCACTATACTTTCCCGAAGACGCTGAAATTTCGGCTATACTTGATCAAGCCGAAACAACTTACCCATGGCTCTTAACAACTGGCTCAAAGTTTGTGGCCAAACCAGATCAACTAATTAAGAGAAGAGGTAAAAGTGGCCTACTAGCCCTAAATAAGACCTGGCCCGAAGCCAAAGCCTGGATTGCAGCACGAGCTGGAAAGCCTCAAAAGGTGGAAACCACGGTTGGGGTCCTCAGACAATTTTTAGTAGAACCATTCGTACCACATCCTGAGGGAACAGAATACTACATTAACATTAATTCTCAAAGAGAGGTAAGCGTTCCAAATACACAAGTTCTCCGAGCCCCGAAATAAAGGATGTCATTTCCACAAATGGTACGGCCGAGTCACACTTCACAAATCTCTCCTGGAAATACACTCTGCGATTAACCGTGCCTGGGAAAGCACGGACTAAAGTGAAAACCCCTAGTTATATCCCGTTCCGGGTCATGGATCCCAGATACACGTGGCCCAAAAGGGTCCCAAGCCTTGGTAGTACCAACAAGCTTCTCCATCTTCTAAGTATGAGTTAGACAGAACATCGTATCATCAAATCAGTTCTAGAAATACAACGTATCCTCTCTAATTATTGTCTAAATATGTACTGATAATTTTTTTCCAGGGTGATTGGATTCTCTTTACTCATGAAGGAGGAGTCGATGTTGGTGACGTCGATGCCAAGGCTGAAAAACTACTCATCCCAGTCGACCTCAGCGAATACCCATCAAATGAAGCCATCGCAGCCGGGCTTCTTGGCAAGGTTCCAAAGGGTGTTCATAATGTTCTGGTAGATTTTATCACAAGACTTTACGCTGTTTACGTTGACTGTCAATTTACCTATCTGGAAATAAACCCACTAGTTGTTATTCCTAACGCGAGTGGAACCTCTGCGGAAATTCACTTTCTTGATCTAGCGGCTAAACTTGATCAAACGGCTGAATTTGAATGCGGTGTCAAATGGGCCATCGCTCGTTCACCAGCTGCTCTGGGCACTGTTGCTGTCAAATCAAGTGATGGAAGAGTTAACATTGACGCTGGACCGCCAATGGAATTCCCTGCTCCATTCGGCCGAGAACTAAGCAAGGATGAGGCATACATTGCCGAACTAGATGCAAAAACTGGCGCTTCATTAAAGCTCACCGTTTTAAATTCAAAAGGTCGTGTATGGACATTGGTGGCAGGCGGAGGAGCATCTGTTGTCTACGCAGACGCAATTGCCAGCTGCGGCTTTGCGAACGAGCTCGCGAATTATGGTGAATATTCCGGGGCGCCAACTGAAACACAGACGTTCCACTACGCCCGAACGGTGCTTGACCTTATGCTCCGTGCGCCTCTTAACCCCAAGGGAAAAGTCTTGTTCATTGGTGGTGGTATTGCTAACTTTACCAACGTCGCCTCTACATTTAAGGGTGTCATCAGAGCTCTTCGTGAAGTAGCTCCACAGCTCATTGAGCACAATGTTCAAATCTGGGTCAGACGCGCTGGTCCAAATTATCAAGAAGGATTGAAGAACATCAAATCGGTTGGTCAAGAACTAAAATTGAAGATGCATGTATATGGTCCAGAAATGCACGTCAGTGGAATAGTGCCATTAGCACTCATTCCCGGACGTCTAGAAGAAAGTAAGGTCGAGGAATTTAGGGGATAAATTATATTATGTGCCTTACGTTTAGTATAACTCCAATATGAGACGAAATTACTTGCAACTATTCACATCGCGCCATGTTACATTGGAATGTGTCAGATACCAAATTTCGTCTCATTCATCGCGGCAAATGATCAAGAAGAGGACGGAGCTATGCTATTCAGGTAGATCTCTAACATCATCCCAAACAGCATCATAGGTGTCAGATAAAGCTCAATTACCATCTCTTAGATTTCATATTCATGAAATAATGTGCCTTAAAAATTACTAATCGTATATGTTTCGCAGAGAGTTACTTTAAAGAAATGGTAGGAAATATCGCAGCTCTCACCTTTTTGTATTTAAATCAGATATCTCAAACAGCCATCAGGACGTCATCATCGGTCATGCGTTCATGTATTGTTCGCCAAGAGACAGTTCTCGATCATTGCACGTCAATCTTTCTCAAAAATGATGGTTTCAGGCTTGATGAGGGATTCTATACTTGAGACGCGCTAAAGTCTCACATTTCGCTTTGTTCACTCAACCCCTGTTCAAGACTTAAAAGCACGAAAAACTTCAAAGTTTATCAATTTCATCTCATCTTTGTGCTTGAACGCATCTTCTTTCTCTATTACCAATCTATCTTTTAACAATTTTATCCTTTCACTCATTGATACTGCTATTCGCCGTGCGATCAACTGTATTTGCTCGTTTTTTTACATATTTTCAGTGCTTGTTTTTGACAATATATTATTCATCAAGTCCCATACCATTTTAAAAATGGTATCAAAGATCGTAAGTGCCGCTATCGAGGTTCTAAAATACGCTAAAAACCATCCTTTTCATGACTTCTGTGCAGTGCTTTTTGGATGAGTTAACTTTGACTGACGCTAGGCACTGAGTAGATTTTAGCGATATTTCCCGTCCTATTTGCAACATACACGTCTGCTGTTCCATTAATTAGCGTTGAGGGAGCCAATTTTATCGAGAGCGCCTCAGGAAATCGATTTCAAGTAGTTGGAGTAGCGTAAGCTAGCGAGCGATTTTAAAGACATTATCTCTAATAAGCACTTAGATATCAGCCCGCCGGAAGCTCTGGATATAACCCTGGATCTGGTGTAGATCCATTAAGCGATGGAAGCACCTGTCTTAGAGATGCTGCCTTAATGCAACAGCTAGGTGAAATGGCCCGTTTGCTGTTCATTATTTGATTCTCACTAAATAATGCAGGCATCAATACAGTTCGAGTGTATAATGTAGACCCCAAGATTAATCATGATCTTTGTGCATCTATATTCAATCAAGTAGACTGTTGAATAATTTTTTTGTTACCAATGACTGACAGAATTTAGGTTGGTATTTATTTAATGATCGACGTCAACTCACCACTTTCGGGAGAAAATATTAATCGGCTCGAACCTTGGACGTCGTACTACGGAGCATACTTGAGTCGAATATTCTCGGTTGTTGAGGCATTCAAGAATTACCCAAATACTGTAAGCTACTTAAAACTACAATCCCAAGAAGTAACATGTCAATTGTAACATGTTTCTGAAGATAAAAATATAACAGAGATATGCTAACATGACACTTGGAGCTTCTTTTTTTTGCTGGCAATGAAGTAGTAAATGATGTCGAAACAGGTGAATCAACGCCTCCCTACCTAAGGGTAAGTTACTCCATATAAACTTGTGGCTTGACTCTCCAAGCACTAGAAAGGAATTCCATGACTAGATAAGCTGTTAGGCCCGGGCTATTACTGATCTACCTGTAGGCTGTTACTCGAGACCTTAAAAATTACATTTCCAAAAACTCCAAACGTAAAATTCCAGTTGGATATAGTGCTGCAGATGTTAGAGAAAATCTCTTTGACACGTGGAACTATTTGCTCTGCTCAACGACTGGCGAAGATGATGACCCATCGCGAGGAGACATTTTTGCCGTTAATAGTTACAGCTGGTGTGGTGATTCTAGCATTACTGAGTCAGGATATGACACCTTGTTAGCTGGCTTTGCTAACACCAGTGCACCGGTCTTTTTTTCGGAGTATGGATGCAATACCCCGGCTCCTCGTGTCTTCAGCGAAGTTCCGGCAATTTATGGCCCAGTGGTCTCTCCTGTACTATCTGGTGGAGTAGTATACGAGTTTTCACAAGAGCCCGCAAACTTTGGACTCGTTGAACTAAAAGCTGATGGCTCTGCTCAAGTAAATTCTGATTTTGAGACGCTACAAAAGCAATTCGGGAAACTCGACCGGAAATCAATACAGGGAACGAAGCCGGAAAAAAACAAGTCTAAGCCACCAGTCTGCAGCGCGTCCTTAATAACGTCTCCCAAGTTTAATCGAAGCTTCAAGATTCCCGTTCCTCCACCAGGGGCGCAGGAGCTCATCGACAATGGCGTTCCTAATCCACCGGTAGGTAAAATTATACCCGTGACTAACACGGCGGTAAAGCAAAAAGTGCTTCGCAGCAACGGAGACCCGATGACAAACTTGAAGATTAGACCGTTGGCACAGAACGACACCGACAGCTCTCCGAACACGGGGAATTCAAGTGATACTGATCGCACTATCAATGATGCTCAACCGAGCCCTAATGATCCAGGTCCGCCCCTTAATGACACCAAAACTCCTCCTAAAATCAGTAGGCCAGAGCCCAATAACGACGTTATGAACCCAGCATCGGTACCAGCCAATATCGCAGCATCAACACCCGCCACAAGCAAACAAACCGACGCGAAATCCATCGGATCAGAGAAGGCTCAAGTCAGCTGGACTCTAGTAGCAGCTTTGATGATGCTTTACTTGAGTAATTAAGGGGATATCACAGGAATAGACACCTTATTACCTGGGCACGAAACGCGTGGAAGCAATTGTGTCGTGGGATGTGTGAGTGTAAATTATCTAGATCTATTTGGATTTCGTGGCTGCACTTTCATTTTCTCAACAGCTGCATGATTTTATATTTTTTGGTATATTGGACAGTAAGATAATCATTAAGTTTTAAATTTCTAATTATAGATACCAAGATGTGACGCATTTCCCCTGATAAGGCGTGCGAGCTAAGTAGCTCATCCAATCAGTTTTCATGGACCGAGGCATATGTTGGATCAACAGCGGCGTAGAATGCACAATATCCACGCTGGTTAAGGGTGGAGGAGACCCTGCATTAAGGAAATACGCGGGCTGGGGTGAGATTGCCTGACCCACTCGCAGCATGAACTGGCCTCGAGGCTGCGGATTCTAGACAACTGGCATGATGTAGGGCAGCCAGGATGGTTAAGGATAAGCCGTTGATTGGGGGAGGCACTTTAATATCGAATAGTCTTAGCTCAATGTTGCGAAAATAAACTTCAAGCATGATATAGGTCAATAATTGTGGAATTGCGATGGATCGCGGCTCAAACCAAAATCTCGCCTGCCTACGTAATCATGAGACAGGATAGTGGCCACGGCTGCGTATCTACCATCGGAGGCGATTCCCGAGAGAATAGTTTTCAGCCTGGTCCTTGGCGGCCAGGGCTACGTTGCGCCAGAGTTGAACATCGTTTGCGGTCTGGCTGGGCCTTGCTAAGATTGCGCGAGTGATCTATAATCTCGATCCAGAGAAGTGCCCAGGTCACTGCGCTACCTTGTTTTACGGTGGACGTTTAACTCAAAGCACGGCCGCAATAAGCATCACAGAATGCCTATTAAGTCTTCTGGCTAGGTGATGTGGATCTCGGTAACAATCTCCGTGGAGTGTCCCGGAACCTGGATACCCACTGCGCCGACTCACCCTGAACGGTCCAAGTAGGCGCCAAACTGGGTCTGGAGATTAGGAGGGACGCGGCGATCACAGTTTCCAAGGCCAGAAGCCTTGATAGCCGTACAATCATCACAAGTGATTTCGGCGGGTCCCGTGGGCGGAAAGCGAGCAGCGCAATCTCCCCGAGCCTGCCGACAATCGCTCGTCGTTGCCCCGACAAGGCTAGCTCGCCCCCACAGCCGGGAAATCAGGGGCTGATGGACGTGAGGCCACACGTCAGGAAAAAGCAGGGTCACGACGCCAAGGCGCAAATCACGGGCGGTGCGGTGGGGATCAGGAGCAGCGCAAACGATTGCGCGGAGCGATGGTCATGACAGCCCTACGCCTCGTCTGCGGACCAAGGTGTACCGGCTGCCTCGGATGCTTGAGCACGCGCTGATCAGGGTTGTGGCCTACGAAGGCGGCACCTTGGTGGTCCTGGGGTGGATGTGAGTCGTGTTGTTGGGTCAGGGCCGTCAGTAGTGTTAGATGGCCCCCCTGGGCCGGGATGCGCGGTGGAAGAGGGGGCTAAATCATATACAGCTCTGCACGAATGTATTCCGACAGCGTTATGGGCACTGACTCTGCGGCATATTCAACAATTGCAGCAGTTGCAGCAGCAACGAAGCATACGGAAGGTTTTTAACACCTAACCAGAACTGGATCTGCGCCCTTTTATCTGTACAATCAACGGAATGTCAAACCCCATGCTTGTCGTGGATAGACGATTAAAAGCCTTCAACGGGTCTGGCAAATTATCAGGGAACCTTATTTTTTTGCACCAGATTTTAATTGCGCATGCAGCTATCTAGCCATCGCACTAAACTAGAGGAAAAGTGCAACATGGATGACTGAGATTAAAAGTAGAGCACTCATGTCTAGGATTGTGCTTGCGAGTACTACCGGGAAGCTATGGTAGCTCTTCTTCACCCCGAATGCGCCTCTATCCATCGACTTTTCTCCACGCGGATTGTGATCCGGGGCGTCTCTTTTTCAAGTAGAGTCGGTGCCCAGGCCACTCAAACTGCTAGAGATCACCACCAAGAGGCGGACCACAGCGCCTCCTATCGTTGGCTTGACTTTGCAGTATCGGGACCACTGTCGCTACCAAGGGTTGGTGCGCATAGTGCTCTTCAATGTAAATCTCCTTGCCAAAATGCTAAATCTCACGCCCATCGTCATTGAATCCATCCTCTGCATCATCCTGTAAACTTGTCCTGATCCACCTCACGCCCATCCCAAGGAACTGTCTCCCAGGTTTATAAAGCACGCTTTGTATTCTCCGTCCTGTGTAAATATCGGCGGGGGCGTATATTTGGTGGCCAGCTGAGATCAGAGAAAGTCGACGAGATGTCCAGTCATTGGAATGAGGAGGCACTCGATCATACTAGTAGACTTGATGATTTTTTGGAGGGAATTTGTGTGGCCTGGAGTGAAAGATTGATACGGTGGAGTATTTTGAGCCATTGCCACATCGGCCAACTTCTATCGCATTGCGGAATTTGACTGAACTCGGCTCAGGGAGGATATTTCACTCACAGTTTTGTAGAGCACACCGCGGACAGATGTTTAGTCTGCCCTCAGAGAACATAGAAAACGTTCTGCTTATATCAGACTTTGATATTGGTCAACCCGTAAGTCTAGTATCGTTAGTCCCGAGCGATAACAGTCTCATCTCACCCACCAGCAACCACACATTGGTGCCACGTAAATAATTTGAGGTTTAAACGAGCTCTCTTTCCACTCAGTCTGCTAAAACTTCTCTTGAAATACCAGCTCGGATAGCTTACCACTAAATCATGCGACCAAACCATAGAGGACAGGCGGCTCTTCTGTATAGGATGAATCAAGAATTACGCGGCCCTCTGTTCTTTAGAGGAGCCTAACAAAAATGACGTCGGGCCGCACCGGATTGACCATCACAGAAGCACCTACCTGAATGACATATCCGAACTTCTGTGTCGATTCACGATTATCATCACAGTCTAGAGAGCTTTCTTTGGGCGCACGGAAGCGTATGTTCTCGCATGTCCTTTTGACCCTACAGTCTCGGGGTATCCTCAACACATCGAATGATCTTCATGGAGGTACCCAACGTAGTCGCTCGCCAGGATCTTCAACATTTCCTACCAGCTTCCTCTCTGACACAGCTCACCTGTCCGACATCAGTCAATATTTTCAGATTGTATTAATATCCTTTCTCGGTCCAACACTACGTAGGGCATGTACGTACTCTTTGCCTACAGGCCAAGGATACCTATGCCAGTAGTGTATACCCTGCGATGCCTACCATGCATTCCCTCTCAAAACTCCTGATTTGCCCATGCACTTGGAGGAGCCCTTGCCCTTCATTATCTTTATCTCTAGCCAGGGGAGGGATAGCCATTTGCGCGCGTATGGCGATCGGCAAAATAGCAAAAACCACTGGGTGCGGGGCTCTTTCAATACCGACATCGTAACTAAGTCCAATGACACGGCTCTCTGTTAAATATTCAAAGTGATCGGCCATTATTGAGTTGCCGAATCGTGCACGTTTGGAAAGGTCATTCTTTGCCTATCGAGCTTCCTTTCATCATTAGTACACCGGGACAAATATCCAAAGTCGTGATCAAACGTCGGAAAAAATTTCAGGCAGTGTTTTTAACGTATTGTAGTTTGAGCCAGTTTTTTTTGTGCCGTCTTGGGTAATCTGTAAAATCATTTAATGTGTATTCAGCTATACAGCCATGACATGTGAACAATATTTTGTGCACATGAAGGGTCTTTTTGACCTGAGAGTCGCTCAAACACTGCATTTCATCCGCATGCACCATTGTGAGATGTGTTTATTATTTGGATTCCAAGGCCACAGCAGGGAAACAGAATCTGGATTCTTTCAGGTAAGACTTGGATTGAGAAATACAAGGGTCTACCTTCATATGATAGGAAAGGTCCGAGTCAATTTTTGCAATTTTTGTGGTAAAGGAAGACAGGATGTGCAGCACCTGTTGTTACACTGTCCTAAATTCGATGATCAAAGGAACAAATGCTTTAAGGGCTTAGAGCCGAAGTCACTTCCAACCTTATTTCGGACAAAAAAGGGGGAAGGAGGCACTACTACAATATTTGGATACATCCAAGTGCATGGCAGCACATAAAGTGAGTTAAATTAGGACATATAATTGGGAAATAATATATTTGGAATGAAGGATAGTAATTCATTAGGGGGAGACGGTTAAATTATAAGTCTTAATTGTGTCACAGCTAGATAGCTGAATACACTTTGATTTTGTTTTTAAAAAAAAGAGGAATGTTTGTCAACGCCAAATACTCGACTCATTTCCGTGATAACCTTTACAGGATACGTCTGATATTCTTTGTCGTACATCTATGTCAGTACTGCGACGAATATAGTTGTGTTTTGCCGGATTCGAACCGGCGGTCTCCTGTCTCGAATGGGATATGTGTCTGAGCTATCCATAATCTGCCTAGGAGACCAGCCTAGATGATGTACCACTGCACCATGCAGCCATGGAAGTTTTTATAGTGTCGCTTAAAATCGCCATCTTGAGTAATGGAAAGTGCAGTAGTTTAGATTTTACTGTAGGCTTACATGAGTCTGTGAGCATGGAGAACTCCTAGACTAATTTATTCATTTTATTGTACTTTCTGAGTCTAAGACTATGTAGGACGTGCAGGTCCTCTCTGCCTACGGGCAAAAGATACCTATACCAGTAGTATATCCCCTCCTATGCCTCCCATACAGCTCCCCTCAAACAGTATCACCCCTCACAAGTCCTCATTCGATCAAACACTTGGAGGCGCTCTTTGCCCTTTGACCTTCATTATCTCCCCTCTCCATCTAATGTAACGATGGCCATTTTTGGGTGTATAGAAGCTGGGAAAAATCGCAAAAACCACTGGGTGCGGGACTTTTCTAATACCGACATTAGGACTATATCTGAAGACGTAGTGCCCCTTCTAAAGCGTTCGAAGAGGCCGGCCAGCAGGGAGCTGCAAGCTAATGGGTAGCTCTGGTTATTCACACTCT